AAGGTGTGGAAATCTCTCCCTAGTAGACGTGTTTTGAAAATTGTCAGGCTGACAGCGATACGTTGGACCAAGGCGAACAATATGTATTAGCGGTGGGCTTGGGCTGTTATGTTATAGTTGGTGAATGTCTTGCTTGCGATGGATTTACATTTTATGACCTTGGGTTCCTTTAAACCACAGTTGACAGTTTGTTTGTCAGATAACTGTTGCTCAGGCTGATGATGTTTTAAGATGTAAATTATACATGATCATGTAGGTTTCTAGTGGTTGATCTTTACATAACTACGCTGAATGCTCGGTTCCTAGAGTAGTGGACGTGTTGTTAGAGTTTTGTGCCAGTTTTATTAATTCATCTGTTCTCATTCTGCAGAGGAAGATGGAAAGGTCAAGTGTGGGCGTTTTCTCATTGTTCCTAAAGCTGTATCCTGGAAAATACGAGGTTGGTTATTCCTTGGAAATTCTGTTCTCATAGTTTATGGTTTTGAATAAACATCCTACCGTTTTTCTTGATATGCAGATTAAATTCATTGTTGATGGCCAATGGAAGATCGACCCTTTACGCCCAATTGTTATTAGCAGTGGATACGAGAATAATCTACTGATTATCACGTAGCAGTTTACACCAGGCTTGCCCGTAGAGTCGGGTGCCTTAACATTCCCCTTTCGTAGCATATTCGTACGAATTATACATGCATTTCTCTCAACTTCTAGTCTAGGCTTCCTCCTTCTCCAAGTTCACATTTCTCGCTGATGTAAAAATATAGATAAATATAACACAATTATTTCCAGAGACTCAATCAGCTCAATAAGAATCAATTGAAGACTCATTTTTCACGATTCTTGTCACGGTCTCTTGTTTTTTTTCATATATTATGTATCAAAGGAGTAATTCTATTTCACAAATTTTGTCTTTTGAAATAGAACTCATCAAAATATGGAACAAGAACAAGAACAGCCAAGAGAGCTTCACCAAAACCCAAGAAAAAGTTATTACAAAACCCTCAAGAAGAAGCCAGAAACAGTTCCTGCTGAGCCCATGGACGTTCAAGAACAGAATTTAACCATAAATTATACAGTAAATATAATAATCATACATTTGAATACTCCATAAAAGTTCTGCTCAACCACAAACATCTTCCAATCCGTTAAAAGATGCATTCTTCTTAGAGGAGGTTCTGTGCTCTTGCAGAAGCTCATATAGTAAGGAAAGCCGAAGCATAATTAAAAGCAAGCATCCAGCATCTCGATGAACTCAGAACAGTTGGGAAAAAAAGATCGCACTGATTATGCAACAAAGCTTTGGTGAGAAGCTCGAGTTTCTTTGTATTAACGGAAGATTTACATTTAACACACATGAATTTAGGACCATAAATAAACTTGAACTCGTAAGAATTAAGGGGGAATTGGGAGAAATCTAGCATAAACAGTTATGCACTCGAACATTCAATCTATACTACACCATAATATACCCAAAAAAGAGCAAACCAACAGACAAACTATCAAATAATGAAGTGATCTATAACCTTAGAGAATATCATCGTAAGCAACAACTTCCCTGCCCCTGAAAGGCTCATCGGACCTTGACGAACTGTTGCTTTTTCTGGGATTGACAATGGTTGAAGCAAGCTTATTGCCTCTTCCATGTCTACTCAGTGGCACTTCTGCCCGCAAGAGCTTCGATGACATTTCCTTGTTCTTATTAACACCAACGTTAATCCCTTGCCGCCATTGCACTTGAGGATCATTCGCCCATAATACCTGAACCTGTGGAAATGTCCTCAATTTCACCATTCACAATGAAAACTAGTAGAGCAGCAAATCCAATTGAGTCTCAAGCCCTAGCCAATTTATAGTTTTGCACGCAAAATCAAGACCTAAATTCAGATGGGCGTTGAGAAATTTGCGAAAGTAGATGAAGGAATAGTTCAAATTTTCAATATAGGAATGCGAGAAATGCAGCAAACAGTAAAAGATAAACAAAATCTGCTACATAAATCTCCACCCAACAAGAATGATCAGAAGAGAGCTTCCAATTTACTCTATATTTTCTCCGAGAGCCTTTTCTACTTCAGAAGGGCAGAAAAATAAAAAGGGTACCTTTTTGGAATCAATGGTGAAGCCGAATGAGGGATCGAGGGCAGCGGCCATGGCAGCATCAGCGGAGTCTTTGGTACGATACATGATGTAGCCAACACAATCACGGTCGATGCGGATGCGGGAGATGGATCCGTAGATCTCAAATCGGGACTTCAAGTCAAGCACCGAGCAGTGTGACGGAAGGTCAACGACGACTAGGGCAATCGGCGGCGCAGGCTTAGGCAAGGGCTTGTCCACATCATCGTCCTCCACAGGCAACGATGCCGGCGGCTGATGGCGCCGCCTCTTAGCGAAGGACGTAGAGTGGTGGGGGGAAGGGTAAGGTTTATCTCTCTTTCGACCCATCGCTTCTCGGGGAGCGGCGGCAGAGAATGGTTGATGCCAAGGAAACTGGGCTTAGGCCCCATTCCACTTCGCTTAGCCCTACACGTTCCAACGACTCTGTTACCAAAATTTTCACCTAATTACATGAAAAAATAATAAATTAACAAAATACTCGGAAACTCCCAAATTTTTTTAATAATATCATTAAATTTTATTTTTTTAAAATCTATAAAAAATATCTTTACCTCCTGAAAAAAAAAAAAAAAAACAGTATTTTAAAAAATTTAATACTCTTTCTATTATTATTATATTTTAAAAATACACCTAAAATTTCAAAATACCATTTACACCTGAAGTATAGAAAATAAATAAATAATTAACATGATTGGTCCCTCAAGTGTGGCGACAGACATTTATAAGTGATTATGTAACACTTATTCTCATACCGAGTGAGTTAGCCAACTCGAAAACATAGACAAATAGATTGTGCGACACTCATCCTCTAGCTCATTAAGAAGATTTTTAGAAAATAAAAGCGTAGAGAGTTCGAAGGTAAGATTGAAACAATGTTGTATACTTTAAGTGAGAAAGACAACACAATGACTTAAATAACATATAACTTAGGAAGAATTGACGAATAGTCGCATCCATCTATAGTAGATTTTGAGTCATTTTAGGTATACCGGGCATATACATGATTATGTCGAAACATCATACACTTAGGAAATACAAAAAGAAACCATACATCATGAAATCGATAAAGGAAAGCAGTAAAATGATACAATACAGGGGTTTGGCATGAAATGGGTATGCAGTTATCGACAACACGCCTCGAACAAGTATGATCGTGAGACGTCGTAGCAAGCTCAATCTTTTACACTAAAATTTGTTCTCCAATTTCTCTCAAAGTCTCCGCCCATTGATTTCACCATCATTTGACATCCAAAGGCCGAGGTGGGCTGTCTGAAATATCATGATTCCAGAGGGCTTTGCTTGGAGGGATTAGGCATATGCAAATTAGAAGAGTAAGTTGATGACGATGAACAACACAACTGCTAATGGAAATGGTAGGAGAATGTTTGATGAAGAAACCAAATGTATGAACTCTCCATTGCTTGGCTCTTCAATGCCTGGATTGCTCGTTGTTTCATTTGATGCTTTCTTTGTTCTGCATCCCATGCATCATTTGTCAGCATAAAACATAATTTACTCCGATTCTTTTAAAACTTATAGACAAAAACGTCGACTGCCAATGACAATTTTTGAAACGTTTATAAGCCCGGATGAATTAAGTCGGTCTAAGGGCATACCCATCCGCGTCGGGGCAGAACACAATCGTATAGTCGTAAGCTTTGCAGGTAAAAGTGCTAGTCCCATCGTCATAGGCATAACTGTATGCCTTGGGACATGCATGCTTGAAAATTGAGGAGTAAATGGAAGGGTGGCATGTCGTGGGGTTTGCAAATTGTCCACTGCAGCAGTATTGGTCAAGCCCAAATGCCTCGCAAGCGCTTTTGCATGCCACCACTCCCCCTGCTTGTCCCCCATCTCCCCCCACTACTTGCAGCTCTTTCGGGCAACCTGCATGTACCAATTATGGGCTATCACGACTCTCCGTAATGATATGATATTGTCCACTTTAAATATATGTTCTCAACACAACTTACCTAAATTGAGATCGGAAGCACAGCCTGTGGCATTACAGGGTCCAAAGACACCACGAGGCACGACGACCAGCGGCAAATTATAGCCATCGACAATGCTGACATCGTAGAAGTCCTTGTCATCGCCAGTGCCAACAGTGATCTCAAAGAGCGAAGTGGGTGGAGTGGCACCATTGCCATCACATTCTAGCCTCCCGCCACAATCTCCTGTTTGACACTTCCCAATCCCGGATGCATCGAAGTTGCATCCGGTCCTTCCCCATATTCGTCCCGACCATCCCGGAGTCGATGGGATTCTAACACTTTGGCCCGAGTTCAAAAGAAAGCCTGTCGTGGGAAGGGGCGGCGTGCCAGCGCCAGAGAGCGTGCCTGGCCATATGGGATGCGGGCAATTGTTTGTGATGGTGAATACGCAGCCATATGCGCAAGAGAAGGAGGAAAGGACACCAAGAAGAAGAAAGATGCTACCAAAATCCATTAATTATGTTGGCTATGGGTATGGCGTTGGATGATTATTATAAAGAAGCTCCCAAGGAGGATAAGGTCGTTGATTATTCTGAGCCGCAATATGAGTTCTTCAGGTTTGGCATTTTGTATTGAATTAAAGTCCTTTCTCATAAGCAATTCCTTTCCTTTGCCAATTACACAAGACACCAACTACAACAATTACTTGAAATTCACAAGAAAAAACCAAAAAAAAAACATAAAAACCAGAATTTTTGTTGAGCAAATAGTTTCTGATCCATTATTTTACTATTTTTTTTGGAATCTTTTTAAACCCTTTTCTATTAATCTCAAAGAAAACTCATTTTCTTGTTTCTTCAATGGCTTCTCTTTATATTCTTTTCTTTCCTCTCACTTTCTCTCCTCTGTTTTCACAGTCAAACTCATCTTTCCTCTCTAATTTAAGGTTATTGAACATCCCATCCCTCTTTTCTCTCTTTAATCGAAACTCGACTCCTTCTATAAAACTTTCAAACAAAATACACCTTTTATTCGACGCTCGAAGATTCTATTGGAAGACTAAGTTAAAGGGTATAGTTCTAATACCATGCTAAGTTAAGGATTCTATTCCACTTTGAAAGCTTTCCCGACTTTATTTTTGGTTTCTCCAAAAAGCGTCTAATGTTACTTTTTCAAAATGACACATTAAGTTTGGTATGCAAACCCCATATGTTTCTAAATACTCGACCATAATTGAATAAACAAAGCCATAAAAAAGTTCGACAACATCATTGTAAATTGATTACGCTTGACAAAACTGTCAAATCCCATGTGCCAAATTCAGCAGCCTCCATTCCAATAGTAAAGATCTTCAAATCCAATTGGCACGTGCACAATTATTAATCTCTTTTACTGCCAAGAAAAGTAAAAAACAAAAAGCTTTCTCCTTCACGTGAAAATGGAGTTCCACCAACACAGACTTTCTGCTGAAGTTCCTGTTTTTTTTATAACAATTTTATGTAAGTGAAGGACGTGATTGTATATGAACCATAAGAGTTTGAGCTGCCATTGTCCACAAAAAGAGATTCTTTCTTTATTATATGATTTTATCTCAACTTTTTCTTTCATGGAGCGTGATGGCTGCTTCAATCAGATTAAGGAACTGTTTAGGAAGTCCATTTCCAGAGACCAAAATGCAAGGTTGATATCAGACTCAAAGAGATGGATATCAATAATGGAAGGTGGCCAGCCGTCGGTGTCCATGAACAAGCAATGGGATGCGCCAAAAGTCATTTAGCCCATTTTCCCTCCTCCTTTTTCAAACTTTGAAAAGATTGCACACTTTGACATTTGCACTAACAATGTCAATCATTAAGCTCATCAATTAGTGGAGATGTTTCTTAAGATCTTGGCTGTATGATTGCATTTGAAATTTGTAAGAGTTTGCTGCCTGCTTGACATACGACTTCACATCAAATGGACTTATAACTTTTTGTATTGACAATAAACTAAACTATTCGGTTCTTGGCGGTATGATTGTAGAGTTGTAGAGGTCTGACGATGGGGAAGAATACGACAAGTTCGAGTTTAAAACATTTTATGCAGTTGAGGGAATGAGCAAACAACGTCCATAAAGATTCATTCTGGTTGCACTGAATATGTTCACGTTGATCCAGAAAAGATAGACAAGCTTGATGTTAAGGGGTGAATTGTTACTTCATAAGTCAGGACTCTAACATGTTCGGTTACGGGTTTTGAGATGAAAATGACTCATTTATTACTCATCTTCAATACACTCAAACATTTTAGTGAGAATTAAACTTCATTTCAAAAAGACCAGAAACAGAAGGATTGATCTTCAGCGGCACTACTCATAACATTAAAGGAATCCATGAGCTCATCAGCAGAAAGTTCATCTTCTAGTATCCCCAAGTACCCTAATTCATCATCTTCTTCTTCATCTCGCAAGAAATTCCCCGACCGTGACTGGTTTTCCCTGGTCGGGCTCTCAGCATAAAAGACATCACTTTTGCTTGAGCTTCGGCTACCCTGTTCCTGTCTGGATGACCCCATTTCCACCTTGTACAAAGCTCCAACTGGTTCATAAGGATTGTTCATCTTCTCAGTAGCAGCCCATTTGTCTCTCAGCTGATTAACCTAGTACAAAACCGTGATTAAACGACAATGAGGATAATATCAATTACAGAACTGGAGGTTTTAATGACAGAAACAGAGGCCATACCTCTGCTTTCAGTTCATGATTCACTTTTAAAAGACTGTCAAAATCATTCTTGAGCTTATCATATTCAGCATTCAATGATTCATAATCAATTTCGATCTTCTTGGTCTTGGATCGAGCTCTTCGATTCTGGAACCAAACTGCAACTTGGCGAGGCCGTAAACCAATCTCCTCTGCAATTTGAACCTTCCTCTCATGTTCAAGCTTGTTTTCAGCATTAAAAGTTCTCTCAAGCATCCGAACTTGATCCAGTGTGAGCCTTCGTTTCTTGCCGCCTCGGTTTCGATCTGCCTTCGCTTGTGGTTGCGAGAATTCACCTTCCATGGAAGAGCAAGAATCGGAGATCCACAGAGAGGGGAGAGATTCAGGTAATGGTAGGCAATGGGTCGTATCAGAATCCATTTTGGGGAAATGGGTGCAATTTGGATTCTCAAATGAGGCTGAAAAATCCAAGCTTTTAGCTTTCTTGGTTGAAGAAATGAAGAAAATGGAGGCCTGGAATGAGGGATTGTGTGTGGATTGGTATGATGATGTTGAGCGTTTGAGGGATGGGGAGAGATCGCATTCATCAGCTCATGCAAATTATAAGCTATGTGCCGCTGATACTTCGCGACAAAGATGGAGGAAAAAGTTGCTTGGTGACTTGGCTTGCTCACGGTCAGACAGCCAAAGAGACAAGAATAGAGAGAGAGATAGGGAGAGTTTTGAATTTTTCTCCCCGCACATTCCACTCCTACCTATAGCTTCTTTCCTACCTATAGCTTCTTGTGAGATCATACATCGGTTTGAGAGAGAAACGAAACATTCCCGTATCTATTAGCTGTAAACTTGGACTGTTACAAATGGTATCAGAGTTAATCACTGAACAATGTATCAGCGAGAAGACTGGGATCTCAAGGGGAGTGGATTGTGAGATTACACATCAGTTGGGAAGGGAAACGAAACATTCTCAACGTGGAAACCTTTCTCTGAAAACCCAAAAAAGACAATACACTTCTGAATCTTATACACTATATGATCGTACAGAATATGGTCCTCTAGTTATATACCACGGTCTTTTTTCTTATTTGGTTGAGCTGTAACTTAGCTCGATCGATTACGATATCTTATCATCAATGGAAGCATTGGTCCCTCACATCATTAATAAATATAAGAACTGTTGATGGGCCCAAACGCCATCTCTTGCTTTCTCCCAAGAATAGACTGCGTTACATGATATCTAAAAACTTGATGGATGGAGCCAAACAACACGAGGGCCATTTTTGAATGGCTTTACCACAACCAATCACCTTTACAAGACTCTAGAAATTGTGCCAACTTTTTTACACTAAACAACTGAAAAGGGGGCTTTTTTTTTAGTTGATTTTGAAATCACTAAAGATCGTGGAATATTGGCTAACTTTATGTTCGACATCAGAAAAGCAAAACCAACTACTTTTCATATCACCTTTTGCTTTTGTTCGAGTGGAAACCAACTATCATCAAAACGTATAATCTTGCTTCTTCTTTCTACGACTTCCTTTTATTTTACGCTTCTGTCTCTATCGATCGAGTTGTTTCGTTTCTCTCTCTATTAGTTGAGTTGCATCGTTCTTACTTCTCATAAGCTATCAATTAAGCCGCTCCGTTCCTCCTCTTTATAAACTATCAGTTAAGTTGTTTTGGCGAATTATATTGCCTAATTCAACTATGGATACAAGAATATTATAAGATTTTTTAATGGTTTGATTAGAGAGAAGATTTTAGTTAAATGAATTGAAAATAATGGATTTGATTGATTTAAGAATTTTATATAATTGATTTGATTCCATTCAATTCGATTCGATAATTTTAATTTCTTGAAAACAAAAAAACGAAATATAAAAATGAACTCAACTATAAACCTTCCATTATTAATGAGTTTGTACTTTTTCCCTAAAGCTGTTCATCGAAAATCAAAAGAATATTCCAAAATCCATCAACGACATGAACATCTTTCACTGTTAGGATTATGGATTTTATCTTAAATTTGTTTTTTTTTTAAGTTTAATAATGCAGAAGTGGAGATTAAATTTATAAAGTAATATTATAATAATTTTCGAGTAATTTATGAATCAAACATGTGTACACAAATTCCGTTGCATGCTACAAAAAATTTTAAATATTTTTTTTTTCCATCGTGAGATTTGAAGTTTCGAATTTACGACTTTTGGTAGTTTTGCTAGAATAAGAATATAGAGTTGGGCAAAGTGACCTTGAGCATGGTGCCTTATGTGCTGTTATCGAACATAACATTGAGACAAAGATTTTAGAAGGCGTGAACACGTTTCTTAATTTGTTGAGAATTATTAGAGTTGAGTATATAAGTGAAAAATACGTTATTTTGTATATAAAAAATTTATACAAATTAATATCATATATGGAATATATTTTAATTTATAAAAAATGATTTGAGTTTATAATATGAAATACTATTTTTATATAGTATTAATATTTAAAATTTTTAGAATCTAGATTGTTACCAAACATGTTATTTTCCCATATTGAATAATTTATTAGTTTTTTTTTTTTTTAAAAAAAATTTTTTAATTGGGTTGGGCCCTAAACAAAAGGTTAAACTAGTTTTGGGTTGGGCCCTAAAGCCCATGTTAACCAATCATTCTTATCCTTACCCGGCTAACTTTTATATAATCTTTTAAAAAAATTTTAAACCCACCGTTAGTAGATTGTGTCCACTTTAGCTCGTTATGTATCGTCTTGAGTCTCATAGTTTTAAAACGCATAAGTTTATAAGGTTGTTTCATTCCCTTCTCCGACTAATGTAGGATCTCACAGCCCACTCCTCTTTGAGAGCCCATCGTTCTTACTAGCATACTTTCTTAGTAACTGACTTTAATACTATTTGTAACAGCTCAATCTCATTATTAGCAATATTGTCCTGTTTTTGACGGGTAACATTCCAAATTATTTTAAATTATTTTTTAAAATAAGGTTTTCATTAAATTCAACAAGTTTGGATAAAAAAAAAAGCTTGGGCATGAGTCGCTTTCAAAAAAGAAAAGAAGGTTGAAGTAATGTTATTACGTAGCTGTGGATAAGAAGGGAGAAAAATACATGAATGCCAAGACATTTCAGATTCATTATGAATGTAAATTTAATTTTGATTGAAATTAAAATAATATTTTTTGTACTTCCAAAATTGGTACGGTATATATTTTTAATTAAAAGGTTTAAAAAGATAAAATTTCTACTCCCAAAGTTTACTAATTAAAAAAATGCTAAAGTAATAATAAGATGAATTGAGCATTAATTAGTAAATAACCTAAGTTTGAATTGCCAAATATTTTGTAGATATATTAAATAAAAGCATATTATATACATCTCCATAGTTTTAATAGACACGTGGAATGAATCACATGCACATTGCCTTGTAAGCATGACAACTAAAATTTGACTTTTCTCTTTGGATGCTTTATTTCATTAATAATTATATAGAATATGATAAAATAAACATTTTCCACAACAAAACGACAAGAAGCCTCTTTCACGCACTCCAAAATAATAAATACCAATTTTTCGGTTTTATTTTTATAACAATTTTTTAATTAAAGCTCAACAAGCCTCAAAGAAGAAGAAAAAAAAAATTATATTTCAATTATTTATAAAATTAACTAAGAGAATATATATATATATATATATATGTGTCTAAACCCTAAACACATGAACAATGTGATAGGAATGATGATTTTGTTGGTCCAAGGGCATTTCAAACATGACGGGTATCTACTGAGTTAGTTAAGGATATAATTTAGGTGGTGTCAATGTGAAAGGAAGCTCCGTGTGAGAAGGGGAATAGGGAAAGCGAGATTGTAGTTCGATTCTATTTGTGAGCTTCCTAACACCTCATGAAATTCTTGAGAAAGATAAGGTGAGAGTGAAGGCTCCGCTTTTTCATTCACATGGTCTGAAACGAAAGTCAGATATATTGTTCACATTTAAGTATAAGCTCTCACGATTTTATTTTTACTTAAAAAAAAACATGTTTTTTTTAATTTTTTTTTTTAAGTATAAATCATTCCTTCCAATAATTTTCAATAAAATCAATGATTTTGATGTTTTTTTAAAGATTAAATCATAAAAATATAGATTAATCAAAGTCTTAATTTTGTTTAAAGCCTTTTAATCTCACTTAAAATTTCCGAACGACGGCGTTTTTGTCCGAACTGGAAAATTGTAAGTCCAGGTTCAGCTCCCCAAGTTGCCCAAGCCCAAACGTTAGGATAGATCTTAAAATATCTTATTTGAAAGCGATTTTGAAGAGCTTTAAACTAATTTTTTTTTCTCTCCCTATTTTATGTATTTATGGTCGTGACTCGATTTTATTTTTGTCGTTTGTTTGGTCAAAGAAGATTAGTCAACCCTAAGATCATGAGTTAATTGATAGAGGCTGAGCCCCAAGCAACTGGATTGTAAGATTCTACATCGGTTGGAGAAGGGAACGAAGCATTCGATTGTAAGATTTCACATCGGTTGGAGAAGAACACAAAACATTCCTTATAAGAGTGTGAAAACTTCTCCTTAGTATATACATTTTAAAACTGTAAGGCTAACGACAATATGTAACGGGTCAAAACGAACAATGTCTGCTAGCGGTGATTTGGGTTGCTATAAATAGAGTCACCGCCGACTCTCTTCATGGACCCAGTTAAGTCCCTAATACAGCATTGTAGGTGTGTATTCTCGACCAAAACGTATCTGTCCTATTTTATATATGATTATGAAGAAGAAAACATTAATACATACAATACGAGATTAAAATTTTGAAATTAACATCGTAACATATCACCAATTTCATTTTGATTAATGCTCGGTTTTGACTTTTACCTTGAGACAAAATTATTAAATTTGTTGATTGTTAATATGCCTACTCATTAGTTTTACATTAATTAGAAGAGATCTTTCATATGACCCAACCTCGACGTAAAATCTTTTCTTAACTTCAATAATTTATTGTCTCAATCAAATTTTGTATCACCAACACGTTTCAATTGAATTATTATTATTATTATTTCTTTTTTTAATGTCTAATGTAACATGATTTCATTCATTTATAATCTTTATTTGTACTTAGAATCATAAATGAATTTAATAATAATAATTGTATGGTGCTATGAGATATTTAATTTTGGTTAGATTTGGGTTTGAATTGAATCAAACTAAATATAGACCAAATTCTTTGCATTATGTGCATTTTTTTCACTTTTAATATGATTGGACATGACTTGATTTTATTGTTTTCATCCAAAAACGACATTACATTGGCTAGCTAGGCCAACCCAACTTTCTTCTAACTTTATGTTTTTCAAATGAAAATCAAAGCAAAATTGTTTGAGTAAGATTTTTATAAGATCTTGAAAATAAACGTGTTAATGTTCGTTGATATGAACCAAGAGACATCATTCATACAATATACTTCAACGAAGATGTGAAGAAAGTATTGTCAAAATTATCAAAAGAGGTTGCAATTCATGTCACATTGAAGAGGTTATAAATTTTGGGTGGGTTACAATTTAGAGTAATTCAGAGTTATTGTATTTTAAGACATTTTATTTATTTAGGTTACATTTACATAACGGCTAATTATGGTCATTAAATATGAATGTTACAACTTTTGGAATGCCTTTAATAGTTTCATTTTGAGGCTATATAAAGCCACGTATGTTGTATTTGTAAGGTAGACTTGGAAAATATATTAAAAGAAGCATTCGTGCTTTTATTTAGCCAATGACTATGTTTCTTTGCAACTCTATGTAGTTTAGGTTGCATGTAGAATCATTCAAGCTTGACATGATCAACCTTGCTTGTGAAGTGATTCGAATTTCAAACAAGTGTTTGAGATATTTGATCAACAAGACTCATTCAAGCTAGACATGATCGATCTTGCTTGTGGAGTGATTCGAATCTCAATCTAGTGTTCTTGTTTTGAGATATTCGATCAACAAGGTAATCCGAATCTTATTCCCCTTGTATTGATTCCTTATCTTATCATTCGTGGTGATAACTCAAAGGGATTGTCTTGTGATATCGGTGTGTCTTTTTCCTTTTTTGGATTCTTTTGAGTGTTTGAATGTCGAACCTTAAAAGGAGTATGTGTAGGTTGATTACTAGTAAGTTGTACTCGTGTAATTGACAAACTATGTTTTATGTTTCGTCGTTTGGGTGGCTAATGTTTGTATGAGATCCCATATTGGTTAAGGAGGGGAATGAAACATTGTTTATAAGGGTGTGGAAACCTTTTTCTAGCAAATATAATTTAAAATTATGAGGTTGATGATTATACGTAATGGGCTAAAGTGAACCAGATTTGCTAGTAGTGGGCTTGGACTGTTATGGATGGTATCAGAGCTAGACATCGAGTGGTGTGCTAGTGAGAACACTAGGCCTCCAAGGGGGTTGGATTGTGAAATCCCACATCCGTTGGAGATGGAAACGAAACATTTTTTTACAAGGGTGCTGAGTGTCACAGTCATGCATGTCCAAGGCGTGTTGTCAATGACAACATGACAGATATCTCGGTCTTGCTTGTCTAGGACGTGTTGTCTATGGTTGCATACGATTCTATATTGGGTTAGTACGAGGGCGTATGACCGTTCACCAAAATCATGTCTACACCGCTAAAATGCCCCCAAAATGTACTATAGGGGATATGACTAGTTGTCAACTTCTTCCTACCCGATAGCTATATGCAGTAAGCCGTTGTTGTTGTCTTTTGCTTACATTCCCATATAACACAATTTCCAATTTCTCAAATCTTACTTTCAAAACTCTCTGCTCCCATTTTCTAAAACTTTCTTCTTGAACGGAGACCAGAGGCTCGAGCATACGTCGCTTGGTCGTAGGCGACACAAGAACGAATAGGCTTAACTCACTTGTTGCTGGGAAATGAGTACCGCACAATCAAAAGTCCCCTGCCATCAAAGTGCGATTATGACACTGAGCTTCCAAGGGGGTGGATTATGAGATCCCACATCGGTCAGAGAGGGGAATGAAACATTTCTTATAAGGGTGTGAAAACCTTTCCCAGTAGACGTGTTTTAAAACCGTGAAGCTGATGAAAATACATAACGGGATTGTTACAGTTTGTGACCCTGCTTCTCGTAAAACCGGTAATCTATCCATTCAAAATTTTAGATTAATACGAAAGAGAATAAACAAATAATACTGAGGTAGGCATCAAGTTTTAGTGTTTGGTAAAGAAAAAAAAAAGTAGATTAGGAAGAAGGACGGTGAATTTGGTCAAAAAGAGATATTGACTTGCTTTTAAACCCATTTATTGACTTCCAAACCAAATCCCCCAATTTTTTAATGGCACAGTTTGTGGTTCTTTGGGGGAGTTGTAATTGGGATTCCAATTTGTGATCCTTCAAGTTGAGCAATTTGGTGAATTATGGAACATTACACGCATCTTTTTGCTGCAATTTGTGTTCTTATTCAACTCTTTTGGGATTCAAAGTCATCTCTTTCACACTCTTCAAATCAAATTTTCATAATTTTTCCACAAAAATCCAATCCCATATGGGACTGTGAAAGGAATAAGTTAATGAAGAATCAATTCCTAATCTCAACCTGCTTCTATCTAAAGTATGAGGGACGAATTTGAATAAGAATCTTCAAAATTATAGCACATAGTTTTTTGCTTTTAAAAGTTGATCGTGCTCCCTTCTAGATTCATTAGGAGCTTCACAAAAGAGTGATTTATTGATGTGGTGCTTGTCCAGCACGCTTCCGTGCTTATATCTCCAAAGTGCAGGATTGAGTTTTCGATTTGGTTGGTGATTCTGACTTGCCTTATTTGATTTGAATCATTTGGGAGGGGGCGGGATGCCTTGGAGGCACCATATATTGCATCGTTGATAATGGCACTTTTGAGTGCCCCAAGATCGAGTTGAATCTAAATCAAAGAATGATGGTCTTGTCAAGAGCTCGAAATAATGTATTTATATGAGGGTTGACCTAGATTTACTGTCTTGATCTTGGATAAGGTTAAAACTCGTTGAATCGGCCAAACCGAGGTAGCTTTTAGGCTTTTAGCTCCAATTTCTTCTTTTCTTTATATTTATGGGCTCGAGTACTAGTCAAACTAGAGTTTGCAATTGGCTTTGGATCTATCTCGTTTTGATTTTTTTCTATTCAAAATTGTCATGAAGATTTTGTTTTTTTTCTTCAGTACATTGCTTACTTCGATTCATGTATCAGATGGATTCGTTTGGTTCATCTCCCATATTGGTATATAAATCACCTTGATTCATGTATCAACATTAGTATTGTCATGCCTATGCAGTGTGAGAATATGAAATATACATTAGTAAACATTTTTGTTACAGTGGTTGGCTATCACCCGTGGATGCAGAAGAATTTCTTTTATCTAAACCACGTAAATCTATGTGTCCCTTTGTTTACTTCTATTCGTGGGTGTATGAGTGCAATCGATCTTATTTCTATTTTCGCTACAACATGTTCTTAGTTTTCTTTTTTCTTTATGAATTTATTCTCGTAACAAGTACTATACAAACGAATATCATGCCAACCAATAAACGAATGCTTTCATCTTTAAAATATGAAAAGAAAAAAAAAATTGAAACTTTCTTCATATAAAATCATTACACAATTAAAATAAGAGATGGGTTATGAAACATGAAGGTAATTAAATTAATATGCAATGAAAACCAATAGAGTGTCACGGTAATTAAATTAATATGCAATGAAAACCAATAGAGTGTCACCATGAATTGTGGCCTAGAAGGTGTGAAAGTTGCATAACTTTTGGAAAATGCCTATAATAATAATATAACCCACAAGAGAAGGGAGGAGGCTGAGTGGGCATAATCATAAACAACTTTAGATATATATATATATATATATATATATAAGTCATAATATTAGAAGAGGGCTTTGTTTTGGTTGATGGGTCAAACAAAGGCAAGAAAATGATACCCAAATCTATGTTTATATATATATATGTTATGGGTTTTGTTAGTGGAGGGATTTGATGCTTCAATATCTACCTGATTCTTGCTTTCTTTGTTTCTTCCCTTGTTTGATGCCAAACCAATTAGTAACCCTTTTGTAGCCAAGCAAGAACACATTTCTTGGTCTTGGAATATATATTCTTGTGGCGAAATGAAGTGCTTGGAGGGAATGGAGGTCATTTTCTGAACCCTCTACACATTTCTCCTCTTTCTCTCTCTAACTAATTTCTCTCTCCTAGACTCTTTAAATAAGACCACTCACCCCTCACTTTTATTATTCAGTTCTTTGTGTACAAACGAAAAGAAACAAACCCATATTGCAAACATTCGAAGCAGAGAGATTCAAATCCCTAAACCAAAAGGGAATATGGTGGGTGCTTTCTTTCTTTCATTCTCTTCAATGCCTTCAATCATGTCTCTCTGATTTGATATCTGTTTGTTTCAGGAAAGTGGTGATCGAGTTAGTAGATGGGAAGGGTATGTGGATTGGAGGAAGAGGCCGGCTTTGAAAGGCCGCCATGGGGGAATCATTGCGGCAGCGTTTGATCTTGGTATGTGTGTGTTATAACATAATTTTGAGAAAAAAGAGTGGATTTTGGAGATCAAATTGAAGAATTTTGATGGGTTTTTTTTTTGTTCTTGATTTTTTTTGTTTTGATGGGTTTAGTTGTGGAGATATTGGAGAATTTGGCGTTCTTGGCAAATGCAAGCAACTTGGTGATGTACTTGTCGCATTACATGCACTTTTCTCCATCAAAATCAGCCAACAATGTCACAGATTTCATGGGAACTGCCTTCCTTCTTGCCCTCCTTGGTGGCTTTCTTTCTGATGCCTTTTTCACCTCTTATCTCATCTACCTCATTAGTGCTGCCATTCAATTACTCGTACGTATATCTTTTTATATATTACCTTTTTTTTTCGGTAAAAGATTCAAACATCTAAGTTCTTGATTTGGGTATGATATGAAAAACAAGACAAAAGGGGTACTTGGGAGGAGGTGGATCACGAGCTAACTGTTGATGCCCCAATGGTTGTGTGAAAAAAAAAGGAACTTTATTAGATTAGAAGAAGTGGGACCCAGTAAGAGTGTGATGATGATCATCATGCAATGAGTGCGTCGTACTGGAATATTTCCCCCACCATGCATATAAGGCTAATTATTTTGTGCTTGTGTTTACTCATCATCTTCTTGTAGTCGTCTTGTCCCCATTTGTAAGCCATTGGTCCTCAACCTAATGGCTGTAGCCCTATCAGATGTCGCCACGCACATAACTCTTGTGTTTTTATTACGACACGTGTCTTTAAGTCTCGTCCACATCATACTCGAAATAAGACAATTCTTTTTTTCTGTACAGTTGTCCATTTATGGTCTTTGTCTAAGATTTGTTGATCTTAACTATGTAGTCAGCTCAAGCTCCAAGATCATCCCGTCTTTAATAAATATTGTCTTTTTTTTACTTTTCTTTTTCTAAGTCATTGTTCTCCTTTCCAACCAAGATCATCTCGTCTCTAGCAAATATTATCTTTTTTGGCCTTTCTTTTTCTGGATCATTGTTCTCCTCTCCAACCAAGATCACCGTCTCTAGCAAATATTGTCATTCTTTGGCCTTTCTTTTTTCTGGGTCATTGTTCCCCTCTTTGACCAAGATCACTATCTCTAGCAAATATTGTCGTCTTTGGCCTTTCTTTTTTCTGGGTCATTGTTCCCCTCTCCAACCAATGTAAGATCTCATAATTCACCATTTTTGAGGTTATCGTTTCCCTCTCTAATCAATGTGAGATCTCACAATCCACCCTTCATTTGGGCTAACGTCCTTGCTGACATTTATTCCCTTCTCCTGGATCTCATAGTTAAAATAAATTTTTTAGTGTAAATATTTTAAAATATTGATTATTTAAAAGACATGGATGATGACATTGTTGAAATATGATTAAATAATTTAGCTAGACGATTCATGAAAGATGAATATTTTAAGGTAAGTGCTTATCTTATTGTATTATGATGAATATTAAATATGTGATGATATATACATAGATAGAGATTAATTTTTGGTAGTCTTTATCACTTGGGGACTATAGTTTTAATGAGTTATGGTATGGGGATGAACATAAGGAGGCATGACATTATATTACATGGTCAAAACGACATAAAAATTAAAAGATGTCCCTATGAATAGGTAAGCGGCAGCCAATAGGATGAGAGGAAAGAGTAACACGTGGCTTCAAGTGTGTTCACATTGGTGTCAGTGAGGGAATATGATTGCTTAGTACTGACACCTGCCTCCTTGCATTTCCTCTCATTCCAACTACTTATGGTCCTATCATTTCAATCTGACAATCAATATCTTCTGACATAAAAACATAGTTAACGTTGTAATCAACTTTGATTTAGTTAATGATTACAGTAATGAAGCTCTAATCCAAGAATTTGAGCAGGGATTGGCAGTGTTGCTGATACAAGCCAAGATACCATCGCTGATGCCTCCTCCCTGCTATCGCCACGCAAATCATGGCACCATGTGCCAAGAAGCGAGCGGTGGTAAAGAAGCAATGTTGTTTGCTGGGCTATATCTGGTGGCGTTGGGAGTCGGTGGCATAAAAGGGTCGCTGCCGTCGCATGGGGCGGAGCAGTTTGATGACAGTACCCCACATGGCAGGAAAAGGAGATCCAGTTTCTTCAACTACTTTGTGTTTTGTCTGTCATGTGGTGGGCTAATTGCAGTCACACTGGTGGTGTGGGTCGAAGACAACAAAGGCTGGGAGTGGGGCTTTGGAATTGCAATGCTCAGCATAGTTTTGTCCATGATTGTGTTCTTTGCAGGCTCCCCTCTTTACCGCAACAAAATACCTAATGGAAGCCCATTCACAACAATTAGCAAGGTAGAAATTAAGTTGAAACTTTTAATATGAAGCAAAATGGAATCAAATGAATGAACTTTTGTGTTTTTACTGAGAGCAGGTTTTAGTAGCTGCAATGTTTGGTTGCTGCATTGGCATGAACTCACGAAACTCGATATCGAGTATGGAGATGAGCCCGGCTCTTGATGACAAGGAAGCTATACAAAATGAAAAGGAAAGACATTCAACAGATGAGGTGGAAGAGCCATCAGAGAGCCTCAAGTTTCTAAATAATGCAGCTCTGAACAAGCCATTCTATTCAGCATTAGAATGTACAGTGAAAGAAGTTGAAGAAGTGAAGATTGTGTTGAGAATTCTACCAATATTTGCTTGCACTATCATCCTCAACTGCTGTGTAGCTCAGCTATCTACATTTTCGGTGGAACAAGCATCAACAATGGACACCAAAATAGGTTCTTTCAAAGTTCCACCTGCATCTCTCCCTATATTCCCAATACTCTTCATCATGTTCCTTGCGCCGATATATGATCACATAATCATCCCGTTTTCTCGGAGAATAACGAAAACCGAAACGGGGATCACTCATCTTCAGAGGATTGGAGTTGGGTTACTTTTCTCTATTGGAGCCATGGCTGTTGCAGCAGCTGTTGAGACTAAGCGCAAGAGAGTAGCCACCAAACACGGACTACTCAACTCGGCTCAGCCATTGCCCATCTCGTTCCTTTGGATTGCCATCCAGTACTTGTTTCTGGGATCAGCAGATCTTTTCTCATTGGCTGGATCATTGGAATTTTTCTTCACAGAAGCACCTGCAAGTATGAGATCCTTGGCTACATCTCTATCCTGGGCTTCTCTGGCTATGGGGTACTATCTTAGCTCAGTGGTTATATCAATAATCAACAACGTCACAGATAGATCAGACCACCAGCCATGGCTGTCGGGAAGAAATCTAAACCATTATCACCTTGAGAGATTCTACTGGTTGATGTGTGTGCTCAGTGGATTAAACTTTGTGCACTACTTATTTTGGGCTATGCAGTACAAGTACAGACCAAAAGCACGACAATAGATAGATATAGATATAGATATGATGCAGTAATACTTACAGGGTTTCACAGATTTATTCAAATAGATTGAAATTCCCGCCTTCCATCCAGTGGAGAGAATCTTGACAAGCACTGCAAATGCTCTTATCTTTCAGCTGGCATGAGTCAGACAGAATGGAAGGGTAAATTTTTCAGGTGGGCGGAGAATGAAATGACTTGTATCAGTGAATCTGTGATGCGTGGGAGAGAATTAACTATTCGCCAAAGCATCTTTTTATCAACCTCTTTGTATTTGGTTTCCATTAATTGAATCTTTCTTATTGCATGTTCTTTGCATACCAAATTTGACGGATATATAACAATCAGAAACTATGATCCTCCACAATAGTACGATAATATTTAATTTCAAACAGTCCACGAAACAATCTAAACTTCACCTAGCAGGTTTTAGCAAAGGACAGGTAAACCATTTGGACAACAAAGTAGGCATAAGTATTTGCTTGTCCAGTGAGTTCAATACATTCCCTCATACTAATAAGCTACAAGGTAAACACAGCCGCTAACACATGAATCAAAAGAATGCCCACTGTTTCAACTTAAAATTGAGACGCTCCACATTCCATATTAGAAAAATGAGAACTTTACAATAGCGTTTAAGAACATCTACTGTCTTATCTTTCTTATATACCTCTTCAGGAGATGTAATTACAGTGAAAATTTAATATTACTATTCAAAACGAGACGAATGGCTAGCCCTGTGAACATCCCACAGTCATGGACAAGCTCCTCACGGCCACCCTGACTGCACCCACGGTGCTAAGTTGTTTCATCTTAGGGTTCAACCCATGTTCATCCTGCTTTTTATCATCTTCATCCATCTGGACACCCACAAAGTACGCTACCTGCAAACAATGCCATTCACTTGGTAAGGAAATAGAAAAGCTTTCTTGGTAAATTCAGCTATAAAATGTCAAAAGGTAAACAATAGTGGGCATTAGAACACTTCTTGTTATACACATTGATCAAATACTGGGGCAAAGAAACATTAATGAAAGCAAGGTTTCATAACTATTCTTTGAATTGTGTTACACGGATTATCTTGTAACAGCCCATGCCTAAACTCAAACCCACCGCTAGCAGATATTGTCCTCTTTAAGTTTTTCCTTTCGGGTTTTCCCTCAAGGTTTTTAAAAGGTGTCTGCTAGGGAGAGGTTTCCAATCCAAGTCTTTATAAAAGGTGCTTTGTTCCCCTCTCCAACCGATGTGGGATCTCACAATCCACCCCCCTTTAGGGCCCAACGTCCTCGCTTGCACTCGTTTCCTCTCCAATCGATGTGAGATCTTACAAATCTATTTTCCAAAACAACTAAAGTTATTGTTCCTTCCCTGAGTCTTTTTGTTTTTTTTTTAAGTTTTGTTCCTTAGTTGCGGTTTGTAAATCGAGCATTCAAACATAACATATCAATCTTTAACATTATAATAACGTTAATCTATATGAATCATCCAAATTCAGCACTTAAAAAACGTTTCCGAAAATAAAATAGAAAGTTACATTCAACAACAGCTCCGAAACAATCTCTGAATTTGAACTAAATACAGTGCTCGTCTTAGATGGGTGATCGTGCACAATGTACTATGACTAAAGAAGGCAAACAATTTTTTTTAACTCAATTCAGAAAACGTGGACATTATTAGAACTAGAGAATCCCAAAATTCCAATCAATACTAAAGAAAGCAACAATACCTTTCCTGAAGCATTTCGAACAGGTGATATGTGGAGATCATTCCAAAATGAGCTCTTATTTTTCCTGTTGTAAGAGCAGTTAGAAAGTTGTCTTTTATTCTGAAGACTACAAATTACGCATTGTATAAAATGTTGTAGATAATATCAACCTGTAATTTAAAATCCGCACAGTGCAAGCTTGTTCAGATTGAAGACTTTCCTTTATCTGGAAAAGAAAATCAGATTCATAACAATTATTTCTATAGGCTCCTTCAATCCTCCAATTAACTCATCAGAAACTCAGGTGAAAAATGCTTGATGAACAAGAAAGGAGGAAATACACAACCTTAAAAAGGGTTGAAGAATCCGTGTCAATTCCACTTAGGAATCTACAGTTGCGCCCAAGCACTTCACGTCTAGTATAACCTAAGGCATGCAAGGCAAGAAAAATTGTAATGTATTGTTCAATCAGAATCTTTAGGCATCAAAATCTTAAATGCTATATAGTTGCCTGAATGTTTAGATTAGCACCTGTTAATTTCAAAAACTCGTCGCTCGCATAAACTATAGGCATGTCTGGTAAGTTCAGATCGGTTCTGCAAAAATGCAGAGACATGACATGAATCCAAAAGTGAACAGGATAACTTATTCGCTCATAAAGCATAAGATTTAGGCATAAACAGAAGTACTAGTCTGGAATAACTCACAATACAAAGCTCTGTTTAATTCTATTAAGAGATGTATTCAAGGATGAACAAAGAATGCCCACCCTTGGCACGCTGCATCTCCTTTCGCACACCAATCTTCCAGTTACCTCACTGTGATGAGTTAGGACAGATAAGATGTTACTAATAGCAATTGCAGCTCTTTGCTTCTCATCATCACAAGCTTCACATGGTTCTTCAATGTCTACTCCTATGAGATATCCACTCAGGAGAAAATCAATGGCCAATATCATAACCAAAGATGAAAACAAAAATAAAATAACAACTAGTGGAATGACTAAAACTCTGAATGAATAATGGTAGCAGATCATAAATCTGTGTTGAAAAATATTAAAACATTACTCAATGTTAACAGAACGAGGAAGGTAAGAAGAAAGTGAAGGAGAGAAATAGATGGAAGTTCAAGCAATACTTTCAGGAAACACTGGATCAAGCTCTAGATAGAAACTGGTTACCAGAATGGGAGGAAAATCAAGAAAAAAATGAATGCAATCAGCTCAAAAATTTCAACAGGAGCAAACAGGAAACGGCTTGATGCATAATTTAGAGACAGACCTCTGATGTCGGAATCCGGTGGTGAATCTCTGTTCAAAAGAAAATCCAATTCCGAGATAGAATCAGACAACAACTCCCGGCGGCAGGACTCTAAGAGACTTTTGCACGCTCTAAATTCCTTCTCATAAGGAACACCTTGAGTTCTAGAGAACCCACATATAGATTTCCTTGAATTCTTCCATATCGGCACCTGAACACCCACAAAGTGAATGATCCGCCCATCTTCCTTGCAGAAGACAGGGCTCAGTTGAAAAAAGACCCAGAAGGGTGTACCATCTTTACGATAATTTAGCAAATTAATTTGAATCCCCTTCTCTTCCCGAATTGCCTCGCGAATTTGCATTACTGAACTCCTACAAGTTTTTGGGCCCTGAAACATCCTCCCATTTTTTCCAATCACCTCTTCTTTGGTATATCCAGTCATCTTCAAGAATCCACGGCTCACGAACACAATTGGGTGACCCGATATACTGGGATCAGTGAGTGTAAAATTATCCGATAAATCATTAAGAGCTTCACGGACCCAGAGCGAATAACGACTGTTAAGCGATTGTTCAATCAAACCCAATTGAAATTCCATCCTCCTGGTTCTTCAACTTGTTGGACTAAAACCCCTTTCTTCCTCGATATTCGGAATAGTCCCAATCCCATGAGGCACTCAAACCTCGGGTTCAGTCTCTCGAAGAAGCTTTGAACTTCAGTATATAAAATCAAGAAGAACAACAAACAAAAACCCTATAATGAATATGTATCGACTCAGGGATTCGACAAGCTACTCGCGGGGAGAACACACTTAGCAACTACGAGTGTCCATATGACTGTGAATAAGAGAACATCCGAATGAAAAATATCGCGTAAATTGTGATCAACAAAAATTGTTCGCAACTATCCATAATTCGATGCGATGAGAAAATTGAAATGAAAATGATCCAGAAATCAAATCACACATCACGCCGTCGAGATTGGAAAATGAAAAATATCAAACCAGCAATGAAGAAAACGAAAGCAGAACCAACGCCGTTCACAAATTCGCGGCACAATATTTCTGGTTGATATTACCCCCTCCTTCGGCCACAAAATATTTACAAAAAAAAACAAAGGAAAAATGGTTATCCCATTGTTGTAAGCTTCTGATCATATCAAAAAGATCACAAGAATGTAAATCATGAAGATCAAGGTATAATTTTCTTGCTGAGTTGCCACAGATTTACCGAAAAACGGAGGAATTAGAGAGGGTATGCCGATGGTAGTCCCAATCATTGTGACAAGGAGTGTCCACGTAGATGAGGAACAAGGTATCGATGGGCTGAGAACAGAAGCAAACGAGGGCACCGACGCGGAGCCGAATACCGTTCTTATCCAAATCCTCGTCATACTGTGGTGTGTGAATATGATTTTTTAATTTTTTTAATTTTTTTAATTTTTACTCGCAGACCCAAGTGCGTGGCAGAACGCGCGTCGTGGTATTTTTATTTTCATTTTATTATAAAAGGCTCTTATCCATATATGCCACGTTTTTTAATTTGAAAAATAAAGTCGAATTTTTAAATTTTTTATTTTTGTTATTAGAATTTAACTAAAAATTCTAGTGATTGAAATTTTGGGAGGAAATAATCATCCATTTTAAAAAATAGAAAAACTAAAACAATAATTATCAAATTAATTTTTTTTTTTTTAGAAAAGTCAATAGAAAGTGAATAACAAAACGTATGAATTTATGGATGAAAATAGTGTTTATAACCTTTTTTTTTTTTAAATACTAAATGGTTATTAAATTGAGTATTAGTTTTTTTTTTTTTACATTATTATTATTATTATATTAATGTCGGGTATCAAAATTGAATTTATGTTTTTTGAATCTAAAATTTGCACTGAATCCCGAACATGACATTATTACACATTGTATTAGAGAAAGACCTCTCCTAATATGACATGATATGGGAATGAACTAAGGTAGAAGTTGGTGGAAATGTGACGGCGTATTAAAGAATGAAGTCACATATTAAGCAATATCATATAGAAATAAGAGATATTTTAAAATGTATAATGACTAAAAAAAACTTAAAAATAATTGTATTTTTTTTCAGTAGCTCGATCATACATAACTTCACATGGTAGAGAAAAACCTCCACTAAAAAATAGACCACTTTAATGAGGTGGGATTAAAGATCAGATTATTTTGTTGGTTTTTCTCTCCTTATTTATTCTTTATCCCATAAAATTTCACATTTTTTGAGGGAAGAATGTGCTACAAAATATTTTTTATATATATAATAAAATGTATTTTAAAAAAATATTTAAATAGTTAAATTTTCAAAATGT